ATCTGTGACCGTTATATATTTATTAATAAAATATATAATTAATTAAGTAATTCATAAATAAATTTAAATAAAAACCTGATTTTTGAAATTTAAAACATCATACCTTAATTTTGAAATGTGTATAAGTAAAAGTAGGATTTAAGTATTCTTCCCAAAAAGAAATATATGGAAATAGATAAGTATGTTCCATATTCTTTTCCCTTACTCAACTCTTGTACAAGAATGTCAGGTTAATTTGCTGATTGGTCACTGTACTTTATATAAAGTTTTCGGGGATTGCTGAATTTATAAAGTTTTCTCACTAGTTACTGAACTTTACAAAATATAATTATATTCATCACCTAGTGATCGATGTGATTACATTTTGTTAAATTCAGTGACTAATGGGGAAATTCTTGAAGTTCAATAACCCCTGTAAAACTTTGTGCAAGTTCAATGATCAATCAGGGAATTAGCCCGTGCATCTCGAAGTCACGACAATTGATGAAATGCTATTTAATTAAAAAAAAAATTTAATAGTCACTGAACTTAGGACCTTGTTTTCCCATTCATTTCACTATAAGGGCCTGTTTGGTACAGATTTTCATTTTCTACAGTAAATCAATTTTCATTTTCAACTACACATTCTTCAATAAAATAATATTTTCCATCACATCAATATTTTTTTCTTCTTATTTTTCAATAAAATAATATTATCCATCATATCAATACTTTTTTTTCTTTTTCAACCACACATTTCCCATCATAACACTATTCAAAAATCAATTCTTCCCCAAAAAATCCCTACCAAACACACTCTAAAAATGATTAATAGCAGCAAATCCCCTAGAAACTTGTGCATGTGTGATATATCCTTCTACCTATTGGAGATCACATAAAATCCCTGTATTTTTAAATTTTTGTTCAAAACCCCTATCCCCCGAAGTTAAGATCTGTTAGTTTAACCGTTAAAAATAGTAAAAATTACCCAACCCAAAATTAAAAAAGAATAATTACAGTTACAATCTCAAACTCTTTATTTTATTTTTTTCCAAATTATAGACAAGTTTTTTATAGGAAGAATTGCAGCAACGGTCTCTAACTCCTCCCACTCCCCATCACCATCATCCATGGCAAAACCAATCCAAACCAGGAAAGTCATCAGACTCGCCACCATCGTCGCCACCCTAAACTACTGAAAAAACAGAGCACCAAACTACCCAAAAAATTTCACGGAATCACAACCAAACTGGAAAATCACAATCAAACAAAAGCACAATCACAATTACAAAAATCAAACTACCAAAAATTTTCGCACAAACAAATCGCCAACCACCCATAATTTGTCGCACCAGAAATCAACCCCCATAAATCTTGACACTTTATGCTTCGCATGTTTCGTAGAAAACAAATCCCAAAAATCAAACCCCATATCATCTTGTCGGCTGCGTGTGGTTTATGGAGTGGGCTATGGTTTGAGGACGACATTGCTATTCAAAAAATTGTTGAGGGAGAATAAATAACGGACCAATGGGCCACATGCAAGATGTGATAAGTGTAATTTGTACACTTATTTAGGTCATTAAATTAGAGTATTTGTTAGTGATTTGGATATGTTATAACTTAATTATTTTTATTAGGTTGAACTCAATGCAAATTAGTGAAATTGAAAGAAATGAACGAAAAAAAGATAGAACGAAAGAAATCTAAAATTTGGGGTCCAAAGTGTAAACACTGAATAACACAAAGATTATTATTCGAAATTTTCAATTGAATTTATATACCACCAGAATTTAATATCTGTATATAAGGAATTTGGATAAGAATTGATTTCAACAAATAAAATTATGATTACTTTTAAACTTTATCAAATTAAGATTGCAACCAAACTCTGTCTAAATCACAAAAAATTATCATTATCAAAATCAATATTTATAACTATATCAATACATAATTTTAGTCCTATTTTTTGTAAAAAAATATTAAAAGTATAGTATATAAAACAAATAAAATTTTACTGCATCATGAGACAAAATCAAACGAAACCAAAAATCGACCACAAGAAATCGAAAGTCGATTATCCATGGCGAGGGCACTGCTGATGCGGCCGAGCATGGCGGCTTTTGGACTGTGGGGCAGCCGCGCCCTCGCATCTCTTCAAGGAACGACGACGTTGCGTGGGAGCTACCGTCTTTCGAGCTCTCGCTCGTTGCTTCTTCTCCGCGCAGCAGTGGCGGAGGCTTCTCCAATCGTGAATTGTCGTCGGAATTTTTGCATCCGAGCAACGAATGAGTTTGATAGTTCTGCCTCTGTGGAATCTTCCTTGATTCAATCCATGGAGAATAAGGTTCTTCACTTCCTTCTATATTTTATTTTTTTGTGGATTTCTAGCATTAGCTCCGAGTTCCATCATGAATCAAAATGAAACATAGCGATGTTGAATTAGTGCCATCTGAATCGATGAAATGTTGAACTAGGATTTTCTATAATTATTGGGTATATTGTATCTGACAAAAGGCGTCACAGTTAACCTACAGATTTTACTAGAATTGAAGGTAATATCCAAGCAAGGAAATTACGAATCCAATCTGGAGTTGGTTTAGTTGGCTGCTTTTATGATTTGATTGAAGATACCTGTAACAGATTTCAAGATTACCAAAGCATTGTCCTTTATGGCATTCAGAATGAGGGATTTCAAGTTTCAAGATTTCACTTGTTGAAACTTGAATTCGGAACTATGTGGTACTATTTTTTAGTTGAGTCCGTCTGAGCAAAAAAAGGATGTAGAATTGGGCTGAATTGAATAAGCACTGGGCATGGTGTATACATTTCCCTTTGTGCAATAATTATTTTGTTTTTTTGAATTAAAATTTAAAACTGAAGAATTTATCAGTAGCAAAAGCACAAGGTAAACATTCAGAGCGTGTTCGGTAGAGATTAAAATTGGTTTAAAATTAAAAAACTAACCGTTATTGTTGACTTCTATTAAACGAATATGACCCAATAACGAGTATATTTTCAATTTTAATTGGATTTTAATCTTTACCAAACAAGCACTCAATAGACTTCAAAATGTTGTAAATTAAAAAGTCGGAATTTGTATTAGGCGATGCTTGAATATTGTAAGACATGGAGCACGAATTGAGTTGCTTCCCATTGATGAATGAATTTCTTATCTAGTGTTTGCTTTTTCGCGCTTTCTTCTTTTATAATGCATATGTCAAATTGAACTGTGAGCTAGAAGTCTTTTAACTTCCGTTTGTATAATGTGAAGAGGTAAAAAAGTGTCCTCATAAAAATAATAATGCAGATCATTGCTGAGTTTAATCTTTTGTGACTTTTGGCGGAGATTATGCATTTGTACCATTTAACTTCTGTTGTTCTATTTTAGTTTGAAAAAGATTTAATAACGATGCAAACTGTTAAAATGTGTTGAAACAGATAAAGGAACATCTAGAGGCAGAATCTGTGATTGTGAAGGATGCTTATGGTGATGGTCGGCATGTCAGGTGAGGTTCCTTGTCATCAGAGTGTGCATACATCTGTTGAATAATGCCAGTGGATATATGTTGTTCTGATGCCGAGATATATTAATTATGTATGCAGCATAGATGTTATATCTTCAAGTTTTGAGGGAAAATCTGCTGTCAATAGGCAGAGGATGGTGTACAAGGCCATATGGGAAGAGCTCCAGAACACGGTGCATGCAGTTGACCAGATGACTACGAGGACTCCTGCCGAAGCATCGTCATCATGATCATCATCCACAAACTGATCTGATCGACTGTACGGATTTAAGCCTCTTAATCCTTATTGTCTTGCTGTTATTCTCAATTGTTTAAGAAATTTCAGATTGTACTATGGACAAAGATTGAACAAAGATGAAATATTGTGTTGATAATAACTTGCTGAGCATTCGAACCTCGAGGGGCCTTCGAAATGGTTCATCTCACATGTTGCTCTTTCTTCTTTATCCTTAACTTATTTCATTAGCACCATTTCTGACAATTGGATAAAAAAATATGAATAACTCCATTTCATTGGATTGCAATGCCTTTTATGTGTAAAAGTTGTTCATTATTTCTTTGAATTCAGACTTTCTGCATCATAGTAATAAGTGCAAAAGACTTTTAAAATTAATTTATCTTCAAACTCATTTTTAATCCTATAAATAATTTTTCACGTGAACCCATAATATTTTCCTATTTTTAATAACAAATTCTCCAAAAAAATCACTTTTCATAAAATGTATTCTTGAAAAATTTACATCAAACAAGCCCTAAATTTCAAGCCATTAATGATGTTCTAACACATTGCGCGAAAGACTGAAGATGAGTATTCGGATTTGGGAGCATGCTGACTGCTGTATTAAAATGCACTACATTTTAACTGTATTAAAAATTCTTAATTTTTAGTTATTATTACACTTATGTCCTCTTAACTCCTTTTTTATATCCTCAATCTTTCAACATATATTGTTTCTAATGACGATCTTCATTAAAAAATTTGTTAACGTGCTTGAAAATAAAATAAAAATATTTTATCGCACTTTGTATTTTTTATCTTTTTTGTTTATTTAAAAATAAAAGGGGACAAGCAAGTCTTTTCATACCAAATTAAGAGAATATAAGGACAAGATGTTCTAGTTAATGCAAAATCGATGATGATATTGTGATGAAAAGAGTTAGACGTGTTTATGGCAATAAAGGTTAGAGACGTTTAATGCAATAAAGTTGTGATGAATTTAACTATGATGTCCATATAGTCACCTTATTTATAATATTTTTTAAGGTGTATTACGATAGTTTTATTAATAAATTTTATTGTTTTCTTTTATCTCTATTTTAAGTTCAAAAAAATGAAGGAAAAAACCCATGGCCTGGTATGATTGGGGATTCCAAATTTTGAACACCACATATTTTATAATGTGTATTTCGCATTTGTTTGGCCCTCATTAAATTATAATACATTTTTCACTCTCTTCTTATCAATCATACATTTTTCAATAAAATAATATTACACGCAAACCTAAAATTTTTCCTTCATTTTTTAATCACATATTCTCCAAAAAATTACTATTCCAAAATCAAATTCTCATTACAATGAGAGAATAATGGGGCCAAATGGGCGCATATATACGACTATAGATAAGTCTCTTGCAATAATTTTACCTTGAGTTCCCAAAACCCTTAGCAGAATTTTGGAAAAATAAAGAATTTTCACAATTGTTCTCTTACGTTTTCTAAAACTGCGTGGCTCAAAGCCATCATGGCATCATCTTGTTTTAAGTCACATTTACTAAGACATGTTTTTTAAGGTATAATCACACATCTTTTAAATACTATAATAATTATCAACATACAAGGATTTGAACTAATCATCTCAACAAGGATGTTCTTTTAAGATGAAACTTCAATACTCAATAGTGTTAGGCATAGCATGATGCGCCATGTCAGAACTAGGGGCGATCTATGACGGGCCATCTTGGAGCAAACCAAAGTGCAAAGTACTAGTAAAGTTTCTCTGATAGCATTGCAAGAAACTCTTAAAACCTGTCCCTTGATTTGAAAAAGTATCCTACAAACCTATTATGAATAACCATCAAGAACTTATTATATAAAAAAGTCAATGAATCTTGCTTTTAATGTCAGTAGTACATCAACTCGAGCTAAAATCTAAAAACTTCAATGAGCATAAAGTACATTCAAACTGGGCTTCTTTTACCTATGTACAAACTGAAACCAATTCGTGTACGTGTTGCATTTACAGAGAACATTTTTTATGTGCAACATTCAGTTCAGGTCTTTTTGCCTGAAAACCCAGAGGTATAGCAATGTAGGAATGAATTAAGGCAAATGGGCACCACCACTACTTGTAATAGAAGAATGACAGGTATAATTGAGTTAACTAACTGAAGGCAACATTGGATTCATGCTAAGGCCAGATCCACCAAAAGTGCCAGGATCAGCGTGTTTCACCCGACCAAAATATCTAATATGGCGCAGCAACCTGGCTAAAAAGGGATTATGGCATATTGTTGAGCTATCACAAACAACTGCCACATGCTTACGTGCTCTTGTTATGGCTACATTCATTCTCCGGCTATCTCCTAAAAACCCAACAGCTCCCATGTTGTTTGAACGAACCTAAAACAAGAAGGTATACAAAATCCAATTAACAAAAAGCACACTTCAATGTTATTTGAATTATTCTAATGAAATAAGTAAACTCACAATCAAACATGCCATCCGATTAGATATCAAAACCTAGCATTGGTGTTGGGGGGGGGGGGGGGGGGGGTTG